TTGAAAGAGCGAAATTGATCCTCGTGAAAAAGTATCAAACATCTAAACAGAGCATCGTATTGCACATATCCTCATCCAGACATGACTTTATAATTTCTGTACAAAATTTTTTCAGTTCTTGTTTGAACTCACACCTTAAAACTATACATATGATAATGAACAAATTGCCATATTATTAGTGCTGTAGTAGTGTATATGTGCTGCAGTAAAAAAATATTTTACTTACTATTCCTTCGACTCAATACAAAAGGAAATAAACAATTATTACCAACAAGAGATACCTAGTATTCAATTCAGTTCTTTTTTAAACTTAAAATAAAAAATACTTGCCCTAATACTAAATTTCCTTAACTCTAAAAATACAATTGATAAATTATGGTTTTAATCTAATCCTATCTACGTTAATGTACTTACTTTAAGTGCGAATAAAAAAATAACACAAAGGGTAAAACGGTACCCTATTACTAAGACTCCGTTGTCTGTCTGTCCGTGATAGTAAGTCATTTGAAATTTTCACTGTTGATGTATTACTGTTGCCGCTATACCAACAAATACTAAAAATCAGAATAAAGAATTGAAGTGGGGCTCCCATACAACAGACTTGATTTTTTGCTGTTATATAAAGATAATATGCGCTGATACTCTCTGTATAGAGGTGGCCTTTGCCCAGCAGTGGGACATGTATAGGCTGTTACTTACCTTTTTTTAATATATAAACGTACGATAGATAAAGGTACTGAACCCTTCCTGCGCGAGTCCAACTCGCACTTGGCCGGTTTTTAAGTAATAATTATTATTTTCCTCGCTAGAGAGCTCCGATAAACGCGTGCGATCGTAGCCCGGTACCGCCGCAACCTACATTTTAAATTTGTAATATCTAGTCATACCGATCTTTATTAAATGCACAATGTATTTAAGGTACTTAATTGGATAACTATTAATGCTATAATGCTTTAAATCGCTTCGTAAATAAGCCATTATTTATCGTAAAAAATGATGGATAAAAAAATGGTTATTTTCGGTTATTCCTAAGATATGGACATATATCATCGGGTACTTTTTTGTAGATCTTTTAAAGTCTACAATACTGTAGTAAATTATTTTGATCTATCTCGTAGGATTCAGCCAGCGTTTGCAATGTAAGCGCAAAAAAAAAAGTGTTTATATATGACATCACATTATAATATAAACCTTTTGAATCACTCTATCTATTAACACCGCATCAATATCCGACAGCGGGGCGACTTTGTTTTATGTTATGTGTAGTCATTAAATGTATAATTATGATGCGTTTTTCGCAACCTGTTTTGTTCTATTTAAACCAAACTCGCAAGTTTCCTTATTATAAAATAACCTTTTAATCACTGGAAATTCCAACACAGACTACATATGCCGAATTTGTGTTCGTCATATGTAGTCTGTGTTGGACAATAAATTTTATTGTGGAATTGAATTATGTTATAACTTTTTCAAATAAAAAAAAACATATAAATAAGACCTAATTGTATTAGAAATAAAAGTGCACTAATTGGCCCATGCATAATTTCTCCGATTCTAAAGATAATTATTCACCCAATGGAAATATAATAATGTTATAATCGATGAAAGCTTATTTTGAAGAGTATCGTTTTTCATCTTTCGTTAAAACAAATTGTCAATAGATGAATTTATAATACATTCCTTGTACGAAATGTTTAAAAGAAAGGTTTTTATGAAACATCAACTTTACGCCCCTTGTTTATTTAAAGTCAAATAATATGGCACATCGATCATTAAATTCGATCAATAGTTATGGGAGTTAGCGTACTGACAGAAAAAATCGCAACCGGGTAACAATATATTATATGCAGAAATTCAAGACTTTTCACATGACTTATCAGTCAGGTAATGTCATTTATGTCGAACGTTGAGATAACGCACAAATACGCACGACCTTAGAACTCTGCAGATAAACTTCAGTTAGACGTTGTTACAACAAATGCCCTATGACAAGAAATTCTATATTAAGAAGAGTTTTAAAAGCACAAATGTGACTCTTAGTCATATATTTATCCTGTTTCGTAGAAGCTCTTCACAAAAAGAAATACCACGAAAATAAATAAACAAGTCATTTAAAAAACTGAAAAACCCGATTACGTTGCTGTGTATTTTTTTATTTTGATGGATAGATAGTGCCACTCTCACAGTAAATACGATTATAACGACACATTTCAAGCTAAAGTCCATCAAGCCCTGAACGCTGTAGAGCGTGACCAAACAATTTTTACGTATAATCTAAAAGATTAACATACATACATACATACATACATACATATACACATACATACATACATACACAACCCTCCTTCTGGCACAGTCTGGTAAAAAGTGTGGGTCATGCAAATACTTTTGCCGGAGGAATCGAATGAACGAACCGTGACGCTGAGGATTATCCCTTACTAACTGCGCCTGCAGTCATCGAGCTCATCGCTTACTAATAGGTATATTTTAAAGGTTTACCCTTTAATAATTATGTACCGTAAGTATTTAAATCAGAAAAATAAAACAACGAATGTTCAAATTCAAATTTAAATTATATACATATAACTTTATTCAATAAAGAAGTGTTACACTTACGTAATGTTCTGTAAGGAAAAAAATAAACGAAAGAAATAGATAAATACTTTTTCTTTAACACACAAACGTCCATTTACATTTTTTTTTAATTGAACAACTGATTCGTTTTGAATGTTTTCAGGGATTTATTCGTCAAAATATATAATACATTTCCCCATAAAATTATTACTTATTGTACGCAGGCTATTTGAGCATACGAGTAGAATGAATTTATGTTTGTTCCATTATTTATATCATGTACATTTCTATTTTCGGAAAATTCATTCTTATTTATATTAGATATTTACTGAGAAGGAACTGCAAAGTGGTAAGTTAAAAAAATGACAATATAAAGATAAAATTAAATTTCTTATTTCGATGAATAAATGATTTGATATCAGCAACAGTCAATCTATACTAATATTATAAATGCGAAAGTAACTCTGTGTGTCCGTCTCGCTTTCACTCTAAAACTACTGAACAGATTTAAATGAAATTTAGTACACAGATAGTCTAGAGACTGAGGAAGGACAAGGCTAGTTTTTAATTGAAACACAGTGTTGTAAAGGGTTGAAAGATATTTATTTAAGGGCTTCAATGCGAGCCGACGCCGCGGACGAAAAGCTAGTATTTCTATAAATTTCTCTCTCTCCATAACCTGGACCTCAAAGAACCACACACCACATAACTCCACATAGGTCGATTAGCGCTTACGTGGAGGATAAAGGTTGTGTGTATGTCGGCCGCGTTTCGAGTTGTATTGTATGTATAATTGTTTGGGCTTGCAGGTGCGTATTATACTGCGTATTATACTTCCACTTGACGCCAGTCTTCTCTGGGGCCGTGGCCATACCACATTTTTTAAGATGCCTATATGAGTTTTTGAATCTAAACATCATATAAGATGATGATTTAAAGACTCCGTAGCAATGTTAATTACAGCTCCTTAGTGCGACGCTATCGGCGTAAAGACCTATTGTGGCTGAGGGGCGTGGGAGGGGGGTGTTTGTGTTATTGGTGGAGGGGGGTGGGCTATTGAGTGTGGGGGGGGGGGCGAGGGGTGTGGCGCACACTGATCTCTGACCACGAGCTTTGATTGTGAGCTCGATCGACGTTCGCGTCACGTAAGTTGTAACTCAGCGACGGTTGGTGAAACCCATAATAAAACCACAATTACATTAACAATAACAACTGGTATTCCCGTTTTAATTATAGACATGTCACAAGCGTCAAACATTCTAGGATGACGCATATTCGGGGGTCAATGCGATAACTACAAGGAAAAGATTTGGTATCTCACGACTGGCCTCGAGAATACGAGCAGTCGCGAATGAAACGCAGTGGGTGCCGACCAAGCCGCACCGAGGAATGTGCCCAACCCATACCGAGCGCTGGTGCTGACCACAGCGTTTGCACGTTCCACTGCTCTCCTCGCAACAACGGCTCTGCGCAATACAAAAGAACTCCCATGTGAGTACAGACTTGCCCATTTAAAGTGACTACAATTTACCCAAGTTGTAGTAGGAGTTAACGCCGCGGCTGGTGACAAGAGAGCTGGTTCTTTTCTCGCTCAAAGGTTAAGCATAACTATTCAGCCAGGAAATGCAGCAAACGTTATTGGCACCATGCCGCGTGGACTAGGATAATATGTAATTTTCGATAGATTTAATGTTGTAAGCCCCATTACATTCTCTGTTTAGTAGTCAATAATCTATTCAAAAATCAGATTTTTCATTTTTATTTTGTTTAAAAATAGCTTTTAATTGTAATTTAAATGTATAGAAATATTCTAATAGATTTCCGTCCATAAAAATTTTAAGATCATTGTATTATGTTGACCAATTTAGCTATACTCATGAAACATCATATACATCTTGGTACATTCTCTCATAATGTTATAATTTATAATGGTACAGCCTAAACGATAATTGTCTCTCTCATGGTCTAAAGAAGGGTCATTTCAATAAGTGCTAATATTTTTGTATTTTGGATAAATTTTTTATTCTTTTAATATTTTTGATTTTGCACCCTTATTAAGACTGCGTCATTACTACTGTATTACTTAAGACCTAAGCGTTGCACAATTGTAGGCCCTAAATAAATGAGCACGGGGCGTGCTAGAACTCGGTTCAGCGGTGAAACTAAAAGAGGAAAAACGAAGAAAAGGAAAAGTGCTAATTGAAAAGTGTTAGTGAGGAATGGAAAAAGTGAAAGTGGGAATCAAACAGCTTAATTGGAGGACTTGTGCAATAAGAAGAGGGCCATCGCATCGGTTAAAGTAGTGTAAATAAAATGAAGATTAGGGTGGTTCCCTGGCCTTTGTCTTCAATCCCGCAACTCTTAGTTCGCAACAATATGTATGTTTGAATGTAAATATGTTAAAAATTGGCAGATAAACAATTAAAATGAAAGCAGCTGGTGATGCTACTTGGTCTGCAATGGCGGTATTGACGATGCTGGCGGCGGTGTTGACGGTTGCGCACGGCGTCCCACAAGGGCCTACCGACGGGGACCCTAACCTCAATCCCACAGGTAAGTTTTGTATAGTTTTATGCGATGTGTTCTGTATTTAGTAATATAACGGATGACTACGTTATTCGGAGGTTTTCTTAACACGAATTGAGCCCAAATGACAGATTTATTTCCGATTATTTAAGAATTCTGCAAAAAATCCATCTAATGCTTCTAGTCGTATAAACCTCAATGTGAAAAAAAACATAGGTGGTCTCATGGGGACTGCTGACAGAAGTGAAAACATAAAACAAGATCAAGATTAATTATACAATATTTAATTCTACATATTTCATAATGGAAGTCAAAGGTGGAGGGCCCATGTCCAGCAGTGGACGTCCTACGGCTGATATGATGATGATGATGATATTTCATAGGCACTCCAAACGATAATACAATTATTTATAACATATCCAAACCAAAAATTTATTTTTGCGTATTACTTTTTTTAAAATAGCTCTTGGAGAGCATTTAGTAACAATGACGCGAGTTCCATGATTTTTCAGAATTCTAAAAGTGCTCAATGGGCCTAAAGCCTTTTCACTGCAAAAATTGTTGTTATCTTTCATCGTATAACTGTTCAAGTCACCCAACAATAAATAATACAAAAAATACGTATAGAATGTAACCTTGAATATGTCTAAGCATTTTGTGTACCAGAAATGCTTGTACCAGAATATGATTGAATCTTGAAATATGATTGTCAACATCTTTATACCATATTCGAACAAAAAAATAAATAAAAGCAAGTATTTCTAATTTAAACTTGAAGGTTAACAAGATTAAGGTTATTGCAGATAACTTGTACGCGACGTGCACGACGGGCGACAAGAGAGGTATGTGCCTCAGGGACTATCAGTGCTTTCCAAACGGCACCATTGCCGAAGGCGGGGACATTGCCCAGGGTGAGATCAGGTACGAAGCCTTCATGTTCATCAGATGCAATAAACCCATTACATATCTTCTCTACGCGTGTGTTTAAATGCTTTATAAAGATCACAAAACAATTAGTTTTTAAATTTAAAATATAGTGTGAAAATAGTAAAAGGGACATTATTTTTAATAGAGAATAATTTTATTTTGAAGTAGTATTAGTAGGCAGGCTCTTAGAGTAAACTTTACAGCTTTATGACCTGATAAAACACCCCTCAGTATTAGTATACTTCACAACTACCGTACTCGGTCTATGATTTCACGTTAACAGCAATATATTACATATTTAATTACGCAATTTTTAGACAATGCTACATTATTTTAATGAAACGGGAGTATTTAATAAAAACCGTTTCTCTTCCTTGTTACAGGGATTCCTCCGCCCCGATCACGTAAGTGCATATTAAATTCCTTTCTGAATTATTGAGAGTAATGCGAAAATAGTAACTGTAGGACAGTAATAGAATTGATTAGAAAATAAAGATAAGATGTTATGACTTTCTCAGCGACTGCGGTGAAGATTTTTGGTGCTGTACGTATGCTTCAGACGCCAACCCGCCGGTATCACCAACGCGTGCGAGCACACCAAGCCCCACATCCATATCGAGCGCGGCGGGAAGTGAGCATTCGCCAATTATTAACGGCTTAAGTTTAACTTAATACGACTTAGGGAACTTCAAGTAGAGACCCTACCCATACTTTAAAGGTCGGCAATGCAATCGTGACTCCTCCCATGTTTCTAGCGTTCATGGGCGGCGGTGGTCGCTTACCATCAGGTGACCCGCTTGCTCGTTTACCTCCTTTTACAATAAAAAAAGAAGTTTTACTAAAATTTCGATAAAATAAAGAAGCTCATCACTCCCACAAAACTCTTCCCTCATTCTAAATCAAAACAAACCCATAATTTACATTAGTTATTCTTTTGTTTATGTGTTATTAAGTGCTTAAGGACGACGACATTGTTCTAATATTGAAAGTCGCTTCGCTTCGCTCCCCGTAGACGCGGCATGTTCGAGGGTGTTCGACGAGGACTGCACGTGGTGCGTCGGCCTCTACAGGTAGGTTTGGTGCGTCGGCCCCTACGGTCCCACATTCGCACGCAGCCGGCGAATGTGAGTCCGTGGCCAGGACTGACCGTGGATTGAGCCGAGGCCAGGCCGGGGGGCGACGTGCAGCGGGAGCAGCGCACCGCCAGCGGCCTGTACTGCGGTGGGGCGCTGCTGGGCAGCCGCGTGGTGCTGACGGCCGCCACGTGCGCGCGCGCCGCGGGTCAAGAGGCGGTGAGGGCGCGCGTGCCCGGCTCGGCCGCGCCCGACAAGGAGTACGCGGTGGTCGACAGGATCCTGCACCCCAAATACTCCACAGGTGAACCGTGAACTCCGATTGATACATTTTGAATTTTTTTTTAATTCAAAAACTGGCTAGCACTTGACTGCCATCCCACCTGATGGTAAGTGGCGATGCAGCCGTTGACGGTAAGCGCGCTAGCTCAGTAGAAACCTATTCACTCTTGCCTTGAAGACGCCAACGTTGTATTTGGACGGAAAGACGGACGCAGGCAGGCTATTCCATTCCTTAGCTGTACGGATGATAAATGAAGAAGCGAATCGCTTTGTTCTTGTACGTGGAACGTTGACAGCATAAGGATGGAGCCCCGCCGAACGCCTGGTTGTCCGATGATGGAAAGGGGCGGGAGGAATAAGATCATGTAACTCCAACGCACACTCCAAAATGTATCCTGTAGAAAACCGAGAGGCTGGCGACTCTGCGCCTGCGCTCAAGGCTAGTGAGATTGGTTTTAACCAATAAATAGCAGGCCAAATGCGGCCAACGAAACGGTCTCATCGATATCGTGTGCAGATTTAATTTCTCGGGGCATTGTTTGACGAAGCACTTATAGCTGAAACAGTTATAGTATACCTATACCCAGAAGCAAAATCATATTCAGGTAAAGTTTCCACATTTAACCAGAAGTTAATATAGAATTATGTTCTTAAGGTACTCATGCAAATGACTTTGCACTTATGGTGCTGAACGAGGACGTTCAATGGTTAACGGACGGGAACAATGGGGGGTGTGTGGAGCTCCGGAAACCGATGGAGGGTGACTGCATAGCCATCGGGTTCTCCGCTTTAGAACAACTTGTTGCAGTAAGTGTAATGCGCACAATCTGTTTAACTATATTTTCAAATCGCAAAGGACAAACGACAAAGGACCTTTGGAAATACAAGCTTTTCTGACGAATTAACCTAAAAATATTTTTGGGCGTCTCGTTCCCGCGCTCTTCCAGCACTTAGGATAAAATCAATTTATAGGACAGGGCACACTTTATTGCGCCTTCGACGTTTGTCCAAGACAATGCACAGTACACAGTTTATAGAGATTCAAATATTGACCTCCCATTTAGGCCACAGTGTAAAATAGCATTATATTCATTTCTCACTACAGAACATATAATTCGATAGAGTCTTGTATTTTGAAATTTGAAAAGTTAAGATGTTCAAACATTACATTAATATTATTTTATATTAAAATTTTGAAAATGTCATCTGCATACCTCTATTAAAATCTGGAATGAATATAATATATGCGAAGGGCCTTCTCCTGAAAGTTTTCCAGAAATGTGACATCACCAATGGGAAACATAATTGTCATCTACGAGTATCAGGTTGATATGGAATTCTTCCTTTCATAACATCAAGCCAGATGTTAGGCAATGTTTAAGTGTTCATGCATACTTTTCCGAAATGTTTTGCTGTGGAAGGGCACGTAGAAGCTTCGGCTGTTGCAGGAATGGGCAAGCTCATCCGGGGAGGTACCACGGGCTCACAGAAGATTTGCTTGATAAGTATTGTACTTTCACGTTTCGTCTGGTGCACATCGTAACCGGGGCCCAAATTTCAAAAAAGTTGGTAACGCCTCTTGTGTCTCAACTTTTTACATTTTCTATGTGAGAAGTTGGCAAGCGAAGCGTTATAAAGTGGGCCCCTGGGTACCTCACTCACCAGACGCATAACACTTGCACGTCACGCCGGTCTTCGTTGAAGTCGTGGTACTTCCCTGACGGACCTGCCCACAGCAAACTTGCGTTGCCCTACCGGAGTACAAACATAAAATCATCTTTGTAATATGTTTATGTTCTATTGGTAGACACGTATATAGATGTTTTTATCTCATTTAAGGAATGGCAAGAATTCTTTTTTTACGCCTCTGTGTGGTGGTTTTGGAACGCTGACTGGATACGGCGTACTCTTGCTCACAGTCACAGCTGTCGGTGCGTGACGGTAGCTGCAGAAGGAAGCGTGCGCGCGGCGGCGGCGAAGTGGCGTGCGGCAGAGCGCAGCCGGGCCAGTGCCAGGCGGCCACGGGCGCGCCCGTCCTTTGCCCCGTCACCGTCGACGGTCAGGTGGGTGAAACGTCCCCTGCGTCGTGTCTACCTTTTTTTGAGGGCACACGACTGGTTGTAGCTTCGATCCGACGTATCAATACTTTTAGAACATCTGATGTTGAGTGACTACCGCCTCCCAAAGACACTTACGGCACCGGACGGTTTGCAGAGGGCGTTGCTTACCACTAAGAAAGTGGAACGAAATAACGAATTTGTAACTTCACTTGTTTGACGACTATCCATTGACAGTAGTTTCCAAGCAATACAATCGCTTGTTGGTTAGCTTTTTCTTTAGAGAAAAAACAACTTGTCCCATGTCTCTTGGAACTAAGAAATTTCTATCGACTCAAATCTTATACAGTCATTCGGGCAATGATTTGGTTCTTCTGTTTTGCGTGCCTGTGTTTCTTACTCGTTTGTTATAAATCATATAAATGAATATAAAATTACAGGGAGGAATGGCACTGGCGGGCGTGGTTCGGCAACACTGCATCGGCGATAGCGTGCTAATGGGCAAGGTCCAAGCGCACGCGGATTGGCTCAGTAACGAGCTGCATAAGCTGGGCTTAGAGCCCATATTTTATAACCCAAGCTAACCGACCTCAAGACCGCTTAAGACGACATAGTAGTTAAATATCGACTGAAAAATTAATAAATTGTATTATAAATTAAATGAATGTAATGCATTGTATGAAAGAAATACACGTGACAGCGTTATATATTTTATGGTATAATTTTTATCAGTCATTGTATTTTTTAAACGGTTTTATTTAGCTCGACCCGTGCGGAATTTGTTTATTTATTTGGGTCAAAATTAGAAATTGAAATTTAAGTACCTTCCCGTTGTCAGATTGATCTGAAATTTGGTACACATACTTAATTTAGATTACAATACAATATTGTAGTTTTCAGTGCACATAAAATAAAACCGTTTAACTTAAAAAAATTAAACGGTTTTATTTGGATAGAGGCCTCAACATAATAAAGCCAGCGGTGATGTAAATGTCGGACACATATCACGGTCGGAGGCAAGCGACGAGGACAGTGGAAATTACATCGCATTTTCAGTACCTAATGAAGCAGTTAAATCAGTGGCATAGCTATCGTAGGCGCAGGTGGTCAATGCACCAGGCCCCCTAACCTTCGACAAGAATGGAGCAGATAGCTCTCGAATCTGACCTGACTGTCAACATATACGCCAAGCGTCTTTGATAAGCATGTGCTAAAGTAGCACATTGGATCAACGATATGCTGATGTGCTGATGGTTGTGAGATCAAGTCCAGTCATCAGCTTTTTAGTAAAGTTTTCATTTTTCCTTTACCTCGCGTGTGATATCCTCTATATGATATTCAGTGTAATGTATAGAACTCTCGATGCAAGGTTTTGTATCGTGGTTATTTGTCTTCAGCTATATATATATTATAAAAAGCCGCGGGGAGGCGAGCGAATACAGTTCAGTTTGAGCTACCTTCGAGGCGACTTCGGAGTGAAAACTAGTGATCAAGAGCGATACCAGTGAAACCTACGACTTGGCTACAAAATAGGACATCGTTAGTGCTTACTGTTTGGACCTAGTGCTTTGTGTTGGACCTAGTGCTAGCGAATAAAGTCTTCAAAAGAGTCAGCAGGTCTTTCTCTCCAAATCCTTCGAACCCCGAACACGTAACAATATATATATATATATATATATATATATATATATATATATGTAACATTATTGTCTATGATTATTACTATATATTGGGTCGTTCATAGATATTACTTCCTTCTTATTCTTGTCAACGCCCAACGTGCATATCATGTAAGTGATCAAATAAAGTTTATACAACTAAACAAGTCTTCTTTACTCATTTACAATAAAACATGGTGTCAGAAGTGAAAAATTAATACAAATACAAGAAAAAATAATATGGCAGATCAGTCTAACATAATAATTTCAAACACGCTAGACCTCTCATTGTCGACGGACAAATATGTGAAAGATGGCGGACATGGAAGCAAAAATTCGAAATTTTTATGGAAGCAAACGAGCTTGACAACCGATCACCAACCAAACAAGTCGCAATCCTTTTAAAACGCAATCGGCGACGAAGGATTAAAGGTATTTAATTCATTCAATATTAACAGAGCAGATTCTTCATTAACCTTAAAACACGTGTTTGACAAATTCGACGCAAAATTTAATCCATGCAAAAACGTGACCGTCGAAAGATTTAATTTTTTCACAAGAACACAAAAGGAAGGTGAAACAATCGATGAATATGTCACAAGTCTGACCAACCTAAGTCATTCATGCGAGTTCAAAAGTCTCCAAAATTCTCTAATAAAAGACATGTTTGTTATTGGAATAAGAAGCCGTAAAATCCAAGAACATTTGTTACAAAAGGACAAGTTGGAAATAGAAAGTGCCGTAAATATAGCAAAAAGCATAGAAATGTCGCAAAATAGGTCAGAAAAGTTACAAAATAGTCAACAATTAAATATAAATGTCGCTAAATATCAGCCAAAAAGGATTTCAAGAAGCATAGGGAGAAGGGATAATCGTTCAGAGTCATCAGCATCAAGAAACATTTCAAGTAGTCGCAGCCAGACAAGTCAATATAAGAAACAATGTTCTCGATGTGGTCAAATTCATAGATTTAAATGTCCAGCAATGGGAAAAGTTTGTATAACTTGTAAAAAAACCAAATCATTTTGCCAATTGCTGTTTTTTCAAACCTAAACTTAATAAAGTAAGTACTGTCTGTAACAATTCACCCTTTGAAAATAATAACTTTATAATTAGCGCTATCAATAAATCACATCAGGATTGGCAAATTGATGTGGACTGTTATGGATATATATTAAAATGTCGGATAGATACAGGTGCTGATACAAATGTAATGTCTAAACAAACTTTTGAAACACTTTGTTCAGCCACAAACACAAAAATACCTATTTTTAACACACATAATAACATATATTCTTTTTCAGGCGAACTAATTCCAAATATCGGTATTTGTAATTTAGAATGCAAATTCACTAACGGTTTGATAAATAACTTACAATTTACTATTGCGGATTGCAATTGCCAGACAATTTTAGGATGGAAAAGTTGTGAGAAAATGGGTATAGTACAAAGATTATTTACTTTAACAGAAAATAAGCAACTACAGTCAAGGTCAGTACAAAACATTCTTAATGAGTATTCATCAATGTTCACAGGGTTAGGATGTTTAGTCAAAGAAGCACATTTAGATGTTGATCCTAGTATTCCTCCAAAAATCTGCCCAGTTCGTAGGATTCCCTATTCTCTTAGAGATAGATTAAAACAAGAGTTAGATGAAATGGAAAAATTACATGTTATTGAAAAAGTGACAAAACCAACTAAATGGGTGAGTTCTATTGTTCTAGTACAAAAACCTAATGGTAAATTACGTATATGCCTAGATCCGAGAAATTTAAATTTAGCAATTCAAAGACCTCATTATCCTTATCCTACATTTGATGACTTACGTTCTAAAATAGCCGGTGCTACAATATTTTCTAAATTAGATGCTAACTCAGGATACTGGATTATAAAATTAGATGATGAAAGTAGTGACCTGTGCACATTTAACACACCTTATGGAAGGTACAAATTTCTTCGTCTTCCATATGGTATTAATTCTAGCGGAGAAATATTTCATAGAATAATGTCTGAAACATTTGAAGGTCTTCCCGGTGTAATAACATTCATTGATGATATCCTTGTATTTGCTTCTTCAGAGTCTGAACATAATCAACGTCTTGAAGCTGTTTTTAAAAGGGCCCAAGAAGCAAACATAAAATTTAATATAACAAAATGTTCTTTTGGAGTCCCTGAAGTGTGCTATGTAGGACATATTTTTAATAAAAATGGTGTTTCCCCTGATAAGTCTAAAATAGAAGCTATAATTAATATGAAAAGTCCAACAAATGTCAAAGAGCTTCAACGCTTCTTAGGAATGATAAATTATCTAGGTAGCTTCATTTCTAATTTAGCAGAAAAAAAACTAATTTACTTCGAGCTTTACTTAAAAAACAAAAATATATGGCAATGGACAGAGTCACATGAGCAAGAATTTATAAAATTAAAATCATTAATATGTCAGGCTCCAGTATTAGTTCATTATAATATAAATAAGCCTATAAGAATGTCAGCTGATGCTTCAAAAAATGCTGTAGGAGCAGTAATATGTCATGAAAAAAAATCCTATTGCATATGCCTCAAAGTCATTAACTTCTTGTCAAGAGCAATATGCTCAGATTGAAAAAGAATTATATGCTATAGTTTTTGGATGCAAAAAGTTCCACCAATATATATTTGGTAAACCTATCTTCGTAGAAACTGATCATCAGCCATTAGTTACTCTTTTTAAAAAGCCTCTGTCAGATGTTCCTACTAGATTGCAAAGAATGATGATTACATTACAAGCATACCATTTAATTGTTACATATAAAAAAGGCACAGAAATGTATATTGCAGATACACTTTCACGTTCCCCAGTAGACAATTCAATTAAAGACTTAACAAGTTTAGAAGAACTAGAGGACAATATAGAAATTCATGTCAATTTACTTACCTCAAATTTAGCTATAACTAAAGAAAAACTAGATAAAATATTGTTTCATACGAATAATGACATAATTTTACAAAAAATAAAAGAATATTGTAAAAATGGTTGGCCTAATAGCAAACAAAATTGTGATCCAAAAGTTCTTTCTTATTGGAATATAAAAGAAGATTTACATATTATTCAAGATATAATTTTTAAGTCTCAGTCAGTAGTAATTCCAATATCAATGAGACGAGAAATTCTTTCTATTTTACATGAAGGTCATCAGGGCATGGAAAAAAACAAAAAACTTAGCCCGAGGAACAGTTTATTGGCCAAACATGAATCATGAAATCGATGACTTAATAAAGCAATGTGATGTATGCCTTATGTATAGTCCTAATAAAATAAAAGAACCACTCTTGTCACATGAACAACCTTTATATCCATGGCAAAAAGTAGCAACTGATTTGTTTGATTATAAAGGAAAGAAATACTTATTAGTTGTAGACTACTATTCAAATTACATTGAAATAGCTTATTTGAACAATGATAGTAGAAGTTCAACAGTAATTACACAATTAAAATCAATATTTGCTCGACATGGAATTCCTTTACAATTAGTCAGTGATGGTGGTCCCCCTTATAATTCAGCTGATTTTAAAAATTTCTTATATGATTGGGATATTCAACACATAATGTCAAGTCCTCATTACCCCAGATCAAACGGTCTAGCAGAAGTCTCTGTTATAACTATAAAAAATATTTTTAGAAAATGTGATGAGTCAAATACAGATTATTATTTAGGACTTTTACAACACAGAACAACACCTAGAGGAAACATAAATTCCCCTTCACAACTGTTAATGTCGCGTCAGCTAAGAACCAAATTACCTTCTAAAATAGCTAATTTAAAACCTAAAGTTGTAAAATTTTCAATACATTCACAAAACAAACACAAAAACATAGATAAATCAAAGTTCTATTATGATAAAAATTCTCATCAGTATTCAGATTTTAATGATAAAGATTTAGTATATTTCAAAAAGAATCCTAAAGGTATTTCTTGGTCAAGAGGTACTATTGTCTCAAAGTCCAACTTTCCCCGTTCATATATTATAAAAGATGAATATGGCACTACTTACAGAAGGAATTCACAACACATCCGTCAAAGATACAACAAACAATCATCACAATCAGCATACATACCATCAGAGTCAGACAATCACACTAAGCCTAGTAATATTAATATGTCAAATAATTCTTTGTTAGATAAAGAGGATGATAGTATGATTGTAACAAGTTATTTTAAGTCAAAAGAAAATGTAAATCATAGTAATACTCAGCCACCTAAGTATAGTAGTCGAGGAAGATTAATAAAGAAAAGAAATGTGTTATATTTATAATTTGTATTTTAGTTCAAAGTTATAAGAATAAGTTTGTAAACACTTCATTGTATTTCATTGTATAAGATTGTCACATTCATTTCACTTTTAGGGAAATGTATTTAAAAATTAAAACTATATGTTAGTCAATAAAAGATATTTCCCTCATTTCATTAGTTTTAAGCTTTGATTGTTAACTTAATTGTTTTTAAAAATTGTTAACAAACAAACAAATTACTTGTCATTGTCAAATGTCAACGATAGTTATTTTCATTTGTAAAAAAGGGGCATGTAACATTATTGTCTATGATTATTACTATATATTGGGTCGTTCATAGATATTACTTCCTTCTTATTCTTGTCAACGCCCAACGTGCATATCATGTAAGTGATCAAATAAAGTTTATACAACTAAACAAGTCTTCTTTACTCATTTACAATAAAACAATATATATATATATATTTTTTTTATAGTACTTATTTCAGTTTTTAAGATTAAAATAAAAATTTGTTGAAAAAAGTTTCGGTGGGCTGATTGCCACAACGATGAAATTCTCGAAGTTCAGAGCCTGTTGACTTTTTAACTGTTTATGATCTCAAGCAATACAATCAGATTTCTAATCACCACCAGGGCCAAATTCTCGACCTGGTGGTATAATGTACTCAGAAGAGGCCAGCGGTTTTGACTTTGGTGGAATCTACATACTAACAATTTTACTCTTGTTCTACAGTTCTACAATTAACCCTTGTTCTATTAAATGATTTATATGACAATTTATTCTTATGACCCGTGATAGCTCAGTGTCCGGGCGCTCGCCGTTAATTCACTTTACTGGAGCAGCCTGAGTTCGATCTCCGGTGCCAGTAACAATGAAATAAGTCATTTTAAGTGCCAAATTATTACGTGCGAGGCGGTGAAGGAAAACATCGTGAGGAAACCTGCATATTTTCGAAATAATAATAAAAAAATGTTTCAACCAAAAAAATTACTATGTAATATAAATCATTATTTGAAACCCTATTATTACGGAAACAGAAGAATGTTATCATATAAAAACAAATAATTTATTTGCACAAAGTTAAGTACTTTATTAACACATTTTATTAAACGTTTATTTTAAATAAAACTCAAGTATGTATTTACAGCTTAGTGACACTATCGTTACACTATCAATTCATAAATTTTATTATTAACATTTATTTTAAATAAAACTCCCGGTAATTAAATGCAACATTGTCTGCGGTTGTCAGGAGGTCCGTCAGCTCGACTACAAGTAGTAGGAAATGGGCTGGAGGCCCAGTCTCTGCAGCTCCTGATTGAACCAATCAGCGTGCATCTGGACTTTGCTTATTAACACACTATCGCCACTGCATGGCTTCCGTATCACGCCCGCTAGTGACATGCCTCCCTGTAATAATTCTCCTGTAATTTATTCTCATTTACACCACTGCGTTTATAATAATGGTACAGTAAAAATATGTACACCACACATAATTAAAACCCTTTGGAATTATTCTATTGATTAAATCCCTGAGTCGACTACTGATTCCAAAAGGTAGTCGGGCAAGTCGGAAAATTACGAAAATCGATGGTAGTGGATTCTAAACCCTAGTGGGGTGGTATTGATGGCACTTACTGATTTGTGGCATTATAGGGTGATAAACAGCGAATCAATTACTGATCCGAATGATTTCTCAGCTCTCCACAATTGTAAATACGATATAATATGTATAAAGCGACGCCATGTGTCTACACAAGGCCGACGGACCGCAGACATCAAACAACATTTTTCCAGTAGCGGAGATCGAACCCACACCCTCCGGCGTAAGAGATAGATCCAATATCCATTACGTCAAATTAGTCGTCAATGAGGAACGTGAGGTTTCCTTTTCCCGGTAGTCGCACAAACCGGTGCCTTGATGCTGTAAGCTATTACGAGACGGTTTCGCCTACCTGGTCGTCGCTGGTGATGGGGCAGAGGACGGGCGCACCCACCGCTGCATCGCACTGGCCCGCCTCTGCGGTTCCGCATGCGACGACGCCCTCGCCACGCGTACGTCTATTTCTGCATCTACCATCGCGCACCGACAGCGGCGACTGAACAGACAAGGACATTGCAAATTGCAACCCATCAGCGCCCCAAAACTGCACTAAACAAAGTTGTACAAGAGGGATTGTTACTATTGTTTGATGCTTTGTAGTGGGTGATGAACAGAAAGCGGCAACTGTGGCGTCGATGGGAGGGCAGTGACCTCGCCTCCACAAATTGTGCAGATAATGGGGACTGAATTGGAATAACGTCTGAGGCGCAGTTAAAGTTTTGGGCATATTATGAATGTCCTTTTGCGGGGAAAGAGCACGAGAACAAGACTTTGACTAATGGAAGGCTATGCCCCTTTTAACTGTTATTATGTTAACTGGTCATGGGTGCTTGTATGGTTTAGAAGATCGTTGAAATGGGTCATGGTCGTTACACTCACCATGACAAATTGTTCCGAAGTGGTGAACTTGATGAATACGCAATCACCTCCCATCGGTTTCCGAAGCTCCAAACATGCTCCGTTATTCCCTGCCAAATCCCATTGAACGTCTTCGGTCAGCACCATAAGTGCGAAGTCTTTTGCATAGGTACCTTAAGAATAAATAATATCCTAGGATTATTTTTATTTTATTGTTAATGTCTGCACTAACATTCAGCATGCGCTTTAAAAATTTACATTTTAAATTTCATCATGTGTGCAGGGAGTAGCACTATAAAAATTTTAAGTTCAAATAGAAATGGAGACATCTGTCTTTTGAATTATTCTTGTAAAACGATATTTGTTTGTTAACCGACTTCAAAAAGAAGGAGGTTCTATGTATTTATGACATTGTCCACCATATGATTGTGTGGCGACTCATTTGCTACTGTGTAGCACCGCTCTTATCTTTTACACCCTTACTCTCATCGGTCTAGCATTACCCTATTATTGACAAATTTCTATAGCAACGAGTGACAATAAAAGATTATGTTTTTCTCAACACGGCTTGTTCTTTGTACTGCATCTTAATTATTCCCTCCTGCCGGCTCCCAAACTGGTGACCCCGACGTGATGTGATAAATATGCGCAACATCGGAGCCCACGTCGCTACGCTTTGCAGTTTCGCTCGGAAACAACAATTTCCGCGATAATCGAAGTTTGTTCCATTCTGCGACGCCGCCTAGGTACGCTTCCTTCTTTTTGTTTTTCCCTCCGTGCAGAGAAGTCTGCTAGGGAGACTAGAAAAGCCACCTGCGAGTGAGACTATGGTATAGCCTGCGAGGGAGATTGTACAGAACAGCCATGAAGCTATAATCGCAACAACTGTAAACGCATCTACGATAATCTACATCGCTATTGGACTCGTATTTTGTCCATTCTATGTAGCGCTGAGCCGGCATTTTTCGCATCGAGGCCGGCCATTTTTCTTTCTCTACCGGAGCTACGTCATCTTTGACGAGGAGGAAGTTGAAAAGCGCGCCACGCGCGGCAATCACCCGCAACATTGTGTCAGGTGACTAACAGCTCTCCACTGATACTTCGGGATGGATGCTGCGTTTACACTCGTTCAAGTGAAAGTTTAGTGCTATTTTACACTTAAGATAGTATCATTTTATGTTGTATTTAGACTTACTTTACTTTTCTACCAATTTTATTATTACGTTTGCTGCGCAATACTGAAATTGTTTCGTTTGTGTATTTACCGATTTGTTCCACTGCGTGTATGTGTAAAGCGTTTTTTTGTTAACCAAATTACCGTCGAAATGACGAAGTTTCATTTCGCCGTGGCGCATTTAGATACCGAGTGTACGAAGGAGGTCGAAGATATTATCACACATCCTCCCGAGTTGCAACCATACACAACTTTAAAAAGCGCAATCATATCTAGATTCTCCGGTTCCTTCGAGGAGAAGGTGCGGCGCTTACTAGAAAAGGAACAGTTAGGTGACCGCAAGCCATCTTCGTTCATGCGACACTTGAAGAGTCTTGCTGGGCAATCGTTCCCCGCTGACTTGCTGCGATCAATTTGGGCCAATCGGCTTCCCCGGCAGGTTCAAATTGTGTTGGCCGCACAGAAGATCCAGGACTTGACGGAGTTGGCGGAGATGGCCGACCAGTTGGTGGAGTTGACCGAGAGGCCTACCACCGTGAGCCAGGTTTCGGCGCATCATACCTTTGAGCCCACTCTCGCGTCAATGCAGCGGCAGATCGAGGAATTGACGCGAACAGTCTCAGCGCTCAGAACAAACACCAATGAACGATCTGGGAGCTCACGCGTTAATCAAAAGCGGAGCCGCTCTCGATCGCGCTCACGCCCATGTAATCAGAAGCTTTGCTGGTACCACGATAGTTTCGGCAACAAAGCAAGCAAATGCATACCAGGATGCAGCTGGACCATTGAAGGAGCTACCAAACCTTTAAACTAAGGGAGCGGTCGGACGTGGCAAGTACCGACCGCGCACAGTCCAGCAAACGCCTTTTTATTACCGATCAAAATACCAAAATTAATTTTTTGATAGATACCGGTTCGGACATTTGTTGTTTTCCACGAAAACTTATAAAAGGACGCTTCTCAAATACAGGACTTACTCTCAATGCGGCAAATGGCAGCTCCATTAAAACTTACGGCACAGTTAATCTGAACCTCAATTTAGGACTGCGCCGTGAATTTCGCTGGGAGTTTATTTGTGCTGACGTGGATGTCCCAATTATCGGTTCGGATTTCCTAGCTTTCTTCCACCTCCTACCCGACTGCCGTAGCGGCACACTGCGCGATGAGCTTACAAACTTATCCGCATATTGTTGTAACCGCAATATAATGCAGCCAAGTATTAGGACCGTAAAAAAATCGTCTCGCGATTCCCTGTTCAGTCAACTCTTTTTAGACTTTCCGGAAGTGACGCGCCCACCTACAGCTGACCGTCAAATAAAACACAGCACTGTTCACTATATAACGACAACTAGTGAGCCGCCTGTCACGTCGCGTCCTCGTCGACTAGCACCCAACAAGCTAAAAATTGCTGAGAAGGAATTTAATGACATGGTGTCGGCGGGTACTGCTCGCCCATCTAAAAGCCCCTGGTCGTCACCACTGCATTTAGCACCCAAAAAGGATGGCATTTGGCGTCCTTGCGGTGACTACAGGCTCTTAAACGCTCGGACAGTTCCCGATCGGTACCCTGTGCGTCATATAGGAGACTTCAGTCATAATCTGGCTGGTTCTACTATATTTAGCACATTAGATCTAGTAAAGGCCTACCAGCAGATTCCGGTAGCTGGTCCAGATGTTTGCAAAACGGCCATAATAACGCCATTTGGTCTTTTCGAGTTTCCCTATATGTCATTAGGGTTACGCTACGCTGGCCAAACCTTCCAGCGTTTCATCGATGAGATCTTGCGCGGACTAGACTTCGCTTTTCCCTACATTGACTATATTTTGGTATTCTCACGGGATGCTGAAGAGCACGCCAAACACCTGCGCATAATCCTGCAAAGACTGGTGGACTATGGCGTCGTTGTCAATGTGGATAAGTGCGTATTGGGGACATGTGAGGTAATCTTCCTAGGTTATAAGATAACCAAGGATGGTATCTGCCCACCTGAAGAGAAGATCGCTGCTCTCCGCGAGTTATCGCTTCCCAAAACAGCTCAAGGTTTGAGACGCTTCCTGGGGATGGTAAATTATTACCGCCAATTTCTTCCCAAAGCCGCCAAGCTCCAAGCTCCACTTGTGGATTTTTTAACAGTTAGCAACCTAAAGGTTCAAAAGCTATGCCCTGGACAGCAGACTTGGAGCGTGCCTTCTACGAGTGTCGCGACAGTCTCTCAGAGGCCACCATGCTTGTACATCCGCAACGAAATGCTCGTTTAGGGTTGTACACGGACGCCTCCAGTACTCATGTCGGCGCTGCCTTACAGCAAAGGTCTGATCAAGGCTGGCAGCCGTTGGCATTCTTTAGCAAAAAGCTAACACAGAGCCAAAGTACATGGCCCGCGTATTACCGCGAACTTCTCGCAGTGTACGCGGCCGTACAGCATTTCCGGCATATACTAGAGGCACAACACGCGACAATCTACACGGACCACAAGCCCCTTCTTTATGTTTTCGTCCAACGCCGTGAAAAATTGCCCCCTGCTCAACTTAACCAACTCACGTTTATTTCCCAGTTTACAACTGATATCAAACATGTGAAGGGGGAAGACAACATCGTTGCTGACACAATGTCCCGCATTGAGGCTATCACGCTCGATGACGATTTCGCAGCCCTGGCAAAAGCTCAGGAGACGGACGACGAACTTAAAACCGTAAAGGTCCATTCTTCTTTACAGTTAGAGCCAACCCTCATACCTGGATCCAACATTTCCGTTTTGTGTGATGTGTCAACAGGCAAACCTAGACCCTTTTTGCCAAAACAATATCGGCGAGCCGTCTTCGATCGCCTACATGGTCTCAGCCACCCCGGCGCACGCGCTTCCGCGCGCCTCATTAGCGACCGCTATGTTTGGCCAGGCATTGCTAAAGACTGCCGCTCCTGGGCACGCGAGTGTCTCGCCTGCCAGAGCAGCAAGGTAACGCGCTATGTCGTTTCACCGCTTGGCAACATTAGCACACCTTCAGGCAGATTCCGTCATGTTCACCTGGACATTATTGGACCGATGCCTTCTTCAAACGGATTCACTTATTGCCTAACAGCAGTAGACCGTTTCTCACGCTGGCCCGAAGTTTGGCCCATGTCGTCGATAACCGCAGTAAAGTCGCTGATCAATTCACCCATGGCTGGATCGCTCGTTTTGGTGTACCGATCACTGTCACAACGGACCAGGGACGTCAATTTGAGTCCCAACTTTTCAACAGACTGATGGATTTAGTAGCCACAAAACGCGTTCGTACTACGAGCTATCATCCCCAAGCTAATGGGATGATAGAGCGTTTCCACCGCCATTTAAAGGCCGCTTTAATGTGTCACAAGAGTTCTTGGTACCATGCCCTACCTTTCGTTCTTCTCGGAATCAGGGCGGCACTAAAAAATGACATCAAAACGTCAGCTGCAGAAGTTTTGTATGGGGAACCGCTACGCCTACCAGGCGAGTTCCTGGTGGCTAGCAATTCCCCTCAGACCGTGGACGATGATTTTGTTGCACAGTTGCGAAAACGGATGGCAGAACTTCGCCCCGTTCCAGCATCACGTCACACGAATTCTAAAACTTTCGTTTTCAAGGACTTACCTGATGCTACTCACGTGTTCCTCCGCGAAGATTCCGTTCGACGCCCTCTACAGCCACCTTATACAGGCCCCTACAGAGTGTTGAAGAGATCTGAAAAGACACTTACCTTAGACATTTCTGGCCGAAGATCTGAGGTTAGCATCGACAGAACAAAACCTGCGTATATTGCACCTGACCCAGACGGCAATCCGTCCCCTAACAACTTGGCACCGGAGCCCCCAGTCCTTCCGACTCTTTCACCTCCTATTAGCCAAACGGCCGTGCACAAACTAATTTCTATAGCAACGAGTGACAATAAAAGATTGTTTTTCTCAACACGGCTTGTTCTTTGTACTGCATCTTAATTATTTCCTCCTGCCGGCTCCCAAAATTGTATATAAAAAAAAACAAAAAGAAGCTAAGCAACAATGAATACTACGATTGTCTAATAAATAGGCTTAAAGATATGATATAATATATATTTTAATTTAAGAGAATGATTTCATACTCAGATCAGAGATACTTGACTTAGCAGCGACTCCAAAAATTGTTACATTTTGTTAGAGGTTAGGTAGGTTAGGTGATATAGCTAGATTTTCAAGATTTGATTATATCAGATATAGTATCATTTTAAACTTTTTGAAGTCGGTTCATTTTTCGTTAAAAACTTTTTATTTGTATAATGTAAAGTATATGACATAGATGCGTCAAAGCAATATAGATAAAAGACGTTGAGATTTTCGTCGATGTGCCAATCAGCCCTTTTACTTAGTGATTAAAGCATCTGGGCGCGAACGAATCCGGAAGACGTGGGTTCGATTCCCGCAGCGGCGAGAAACATTTTGTCCATATGTTCTACAAATTTAATTGAAATCTTCATAACCGTCAACCTGTCGCCGCTCTGGCATTTTAAGCCACGCGCCATTCCGCTCGAGCCGGTTCAGCGTGCTGTTCTAGCCGTGAGGTCGCAAGTGGGCAGTTCACCGGTAGCGTTGTTGTGGCGGAGGATCGTGTGGCCGACCGCGTAGTCCCTGCGCGGGTCAGCGGAGGCGGGCACGCGCGCCCTCACCGCCTCCGAGGGCGCTTTGAGCGCGCACATGGCGGCCGTCAGCACCACGCGCCCGCCCACCAGCGCCCCGCCGCAGTACAGGCCGCTGCCGGTGCGCTGCCCGCGGCTCGCGTCGCCTCCCTCCCTGCGCTCACCGAATGCCTCTATGCACCGAATGGCGATATTGGACATACTGTAAAATGTTACACTATGTCCAATATCGACGGAGGTGCTCTCTGTTAGATAAAATATCGGTTAAATTGTAAAATGTAAAATCGATGAGAAAACTAACCTGGGTACGTAAGTAAATGTTTGCACATTTGAACCACTTATTTAGCTACTGCGAAATATGTGGTTCAGATGTGCAGGAGTTCGAAAACAGTTTCACTGTTCTAAAAAATAATAAACCCACATTATTTCTAAAATCGTCGACTTTGAGAGAATGTTTTTTACCTAATAACACTAAAGATTGCGACGAAAAATGGGATTGCATTGCACTTTAAATTTCGAGTATTGAATTTGGACTTAGATGGTCGCCTTAATCGATTAAAATCAAACACTTAAGTGAACGAAATGTGCTCTTAAAAAAGATCAATGTAAAAGAAAGACTGCTACTTTTGAAAATTACAACTATGATATTACTATAGAAACTATGTGCGCCCAAAAAAAAAAAAACTAGAGAACGTCAATGTCCTGTTATTACCGATAACGCAAAGCGATAACTTATCATTTACTAAATTAAGCTACTTATTGGCTGCCCACACAAAAATAAATAATAACTGCTAGTATAAAAATTAAATGATTTCTATAAAAAAACGATATTGTATGGAAAAAAACCGGTCAAGTGCGAGTCGAAATTGTACGCCGAAGGTTCGCGAAAACTTGTAAGTACCGAAATTTAATTTTTCCTTTAGTTGTGCTGTAAAACTTTGCTTTTTGCACTATACTACATTTACTATAAAGGTTTTCAACCCAAAAACCTATAGGGTACTTCCGGTTGACCTAGAATTTTTAATTTTGGCTAAAAGCGAGCCCTTACAGCACAAGTGAAGGGAAAATTTCGAAAAATAAAAAAGTTAAATTTAATTAATTGAACTTTATTTAATTCTAAATTTGCCCATATCTTTTTATCGTTTTTCCTCAGGGCCTTGATTTTTAGACACCTAATAGGGACTATAGGGATATACTGAGGATCTATAGATACTGAGGATCTGGTATAAGTTTCAACTTGCTAGGTTCACCCGTTCCTGCGCAAATCAGTGGTGACACTCGGACAGACAGACGGACAAGAGAGCGATCTTATAAGGATCCTTTTTTTTAATTTTTGTTACTGCTCAACAAGTTGCGACAGGTACGAGTCACTGTCTCAATCCAAAAAAAACTAATAATCATATGGCAAATATAAACATTTCGATGGAATATCTTTTTCTCAAGAGTCCAAAAGCGTATTGGTCATCTTTCTAACTTTTTTGGAAATGAGTAATCAATATGGACTGAGATTAAATTAGAGACTTTATATTAAAGGAACTTTTATCGAAGTGTGATATTTTTAAATCTCTCGTTAAATTACAAAATTAAAAAAGGCTATATAAAATAAAATTTAATTTAATTTCAATAATGAAAAATAATAAATCAAAACTTAATATGTATTATATTATTACGACTTCACTTATTATTGATTATTTTTAAATTAACTTAAATAAAACAATTTAGAAACGCCAATATTTTAGATAAGTAGTGACTATATAGTGACTATAAATAAGGGCTATTAAATCAATTTTTTTCAAACAAAATCAACACAATGTAAAATATTGTAAGAACACTACAGTTGTAGAAATATCCTACTGAATGCATGCAAATAAATAATTTGATCACATATCACCTGTAGAGGGCCACGCACCACGTGCACTCGTCGTCGAACACCCTCAAACATGCTGCCTCTGTGGGGTGTTAGAGAAAAAACCCTCGATCTAGATTATTACACATACAAAAAGAAAACAAAATGAAAAATCTAAGTAACTTCGAGGGTTTTTTTTATTCAAAACGCGGAACTACTCGTTAACATTTAAAGGACACAGTTAAAGGAACGAAAGGCAACGGAAGACGTTGGAAAAAGAAGGATTTAAAAGATGCGTTAATTAAAGCTAAGGAATGGAATAGCCTGCCGGCGTCCGTCTTTCCGTCCGAATACAACGTAAGCGTCGTCAAAGCAAGAGTAAATAGGTTTCTACTGAGCTAGCGCTCTTACCATCAACGACTGCATCGCCACTTAACATCAGGTGGGATGGCAGTCAAGTGCTGGCCAGTTAAAAAAAAATTAAAGCAGCTTCTTAATTCTCCGTTATCTCGTACAGATTGTTTAAAAAGTTGAAATTTATTTGTTTTAAGTTTTTGAGTTTCAACAATTTGAGTTAAATTAAACAAATATTACCTTCAGGACTGAAACCTAATTGAGTTGTTTCTTGTGGGGCACCGTGAGCGACCTTCGAAACGACCATCAGTGTCGTTAAGGCCAACACCACAGGCCGTGCCCCACCACCGACAGCCTTCATTTTAGCTGTTTATCTGCGCACATACTCGTATACATTTATGCTATGGATTGCGAGATTGGAGTAAGTGCAAGAGGCAGAAAAACAATAGATCAGTTAATGAGGCATTACCATTATTGCATTACCATTACTCTTTGACATTTACCTTTAATTACAAGTAATCTAAATAAACCGTTATCAATTGCATTTAACGTCTTTTTCACAAACAATGAGTCTGGGCACGGCACGGGGAATAAAATTTTTAGTTAATTTTCTTTTGTTACGCTAAAGAAGTATATTTAGTAGTAGTTTTTTTTAAAACAAGGTTTGTCTTCACTGCATATTTCATTCGCGACTTTTGCATACATAAATTTATACATATACAGGTGTGCCATAAAGGTCTTTGTCAAATCGGAAGCGGGTGATAGGCTAGGACATAACAGTTATGAGAAAAATATAAAAAAAACTGTGTTAAGCATTTCCAAAATTAGGAGTGCCTGTGTTATGTTCAAATTATGACAATAAGAAATATTTTGATGGTTATTTATTATACTCATGAGAAGCTCTAATTTATAAAATGTGTGAAATTTATTAAGTAAGATCAAATTCATTGAGCTCGGTTCCGAGATCTGTATATATATGGTTTTATTATAGGAAGAGAAATATTTTAACGCAGCTATGGCTATTTCTGTACTTGACCTATTGGTTATTTTAAAAGCCTGTCCTAATTTCCTGAAGGGGTCGATTATTGAAAAATAATATAATAATAGTTAATGTAAAATATACTTTTATACTTTAGACATTTGTCTGCAATTAATTTTATATTACTAACGAAATTTATAGTTAGCGAAAATTAAACTTCATGGAAATGGTTGTCATGGAGAGCACGTGTCTATAATTGTTTAAAAACTTAGGAAAACATTTATAAACATTACGAAGATAATCTATCGTCTTCTGATCTACATATTAACCTTTGCAAATAAAAAGTCCTTGATTTAGCGTTTAAAACGAGCTTTTTACACTTGAGCTACTTGAGTCTTCATTTAATAGTTTATGAATCTGATTCATTATAAAGCGATTCTCTGCCCAATTTCGTAACTATCTCGCATTTTGTAGTTACTAATAATACATATAACTATATTATTAATAATTTATGTTATTAAATACTAAAACCACAAACAAACACTAACTTAAAATAAAAAACATACACAAAAACTTACAAATGAAAAATAGGCTCTGGAATACGATATCCTCATATAAATAATGATATATAAATATCTGGAACACGATATCCTATTTCCCTTGAGTTTTGACAAAATTAGGAGGAAAAATAGGATTTCGAAAACTTCTTCGATCTTTTCTTCACTCACAATTGAAACACGTGTATTCGAACAGACGTTGCTTAAGACTGGCTTATAATTACAAATAATTGGAAGACTAAACAAAGCTTATCAGTTTTCGTTCGACTGTTAAGAGTCAGTGTCCAGAAGATCACACGTACGCATGCGCCTCTACACTTTTACAAAATTCTATTTAACCAGTTAAAGTGACCACTTTAATTGGACAAGTACACACACCAGACTGCTTTGTACTTGAATATTGTGAAAACCCCGTTTGCGAAGAGAGAACGCGAACGCCTGCTGTTTCCCTGTGACCCATCGCCGCTGTCACTATCAATATTTCCTAATTCTTATCGGGCGTTGCGTGCATTTGTTGTTTATTATTGTGTTATTTATTTGGGTTTTACCAGCGGTCGCAGAGTTACATGACGTGTGCGTGGAACAAGATACCAGAGCGTGGTTGGTATCATATATTACGGGTTATAATAAAAAATAAAAAAATAAAATAAAAATACGCTACCTTTCAAATTGTACATTTACCTTCAAAATTTAAACAATTTTAACTATCTGTTGAAAAAAATTGTAAAATGGTTGTTTTATAAAATGGCTATTTTATATTTTTTATTTCTTTTTTAAATTAAAAAAACCAGCCAAGTGCAAGTCCGACTCGCGCACGAAGGGTACCATACTATTACGTATAACCGGGGAAAAAACATCTGCTGTATGGGAGAGCCCCACTTACATACTTTCTTATTCTTTTTTTTTTAGTATTTGTTATCATAACGGCAATAGACATACATCATCTGTGAAGATTTTAAATGTCCAACTATCAAGGTTCATGAGATACAGCCTGGTGACAGACGCACAGACGGACAGACGGACAGACAAACAGACAGACAGTAGTCTTCGTAATAGGGTTCCGTTTTACCCTAATTATGATTTTTGAAAGACATTAAAGTAATTAATTAGATGACTTTGATCATTCATGAAACACTCGTTCATGTCCTAATAACAATCCCGTTTTTCTCTTTCATAGCGAGTTTAAAGAAGTATCAATTCATACTGAAAACGCATAAAAACGACCTGCGTTGACCCATGTAGATTTTAGTGGCACAAATTACTATATTCTAAATAAAATGAATACAGTAAAACTAATACTTGTCCTACATGACAATGGAACCCAATGCTCGCGACACCAAATCCAATAACTCAAAAAATCGTTCGGGTACTGCTGGCTTACAGTCAGGGGCACAAAGGCGCGTTATCTCATCTCATTAAAAAATCCACGCTTTGGAAAACCCAAGAGGTAGATGACCACTGACCTTCCCTGACCAAAGTGATCTGGCTTGTTTATATAACGGATATACCGTTAAATTATTCTTTTAGTCGTTATTTATTTGGTTGATCGGTCGGTCGGTCGGTCGGTCGGTCGGGTTAGGTTAGGTTAGGTTAGGTTTTTTTTTTTTTTTTTTTTTTAAATAAATTCTACTCTACAGACACTTGGTCCGTTCACACCTTTTTTAAAAGTTGCGTAATTTTATTAATACAGTGTTGTTGCGTACTCTCTTAACTACATCGACTAAAACTAAAAGTTACAGCTACAGCAGTGAGGATTTTTTTTTTTTTTTATTATAAAAGAGTGCTACAAGGAGTATTACAATATATGTATATAATTATTCTAGTCCTTATGCTACGTGCATTCCGAGACTTCCGAATGCCATGCAGTTACCCAAAAGAGCCGGCAGGGCTCTCTTTGATCTTAAGTTTAGCTAGGCTGTCCGTAACCGCTGCGTTCCTGTCTCGGATTGCCATTTTTAAATTATAATCCAGTATAGCTTTGCTTCCAGCGCTCGTGGCTTCGCCTATGAATCTTCCCAAAGCGTCACTGGAGTCATCAGCGTAATAGACACAGATTGCAGTGTGTCTTGATACAGCTACCACTGCATGTTGCACACTCTCATGGAGTTTGATTTTTGTTGCCTGTGTCTTTACTATCACCACCGAAACCTGAGTTAATACCTGCGCTTCGTGGATGGTTAGGACTCGCGATCCCTTGCCAGAGCCAAATCCCTGGTTCTTAAGGGATTCTTTCTCCCGTTGAGTGTACACTAGATATAAGGTGTTTGGGGAGTTTTTTGGTATGTTGGCTCCAGCAAAGGTTTGACTAAATTTGGAACAGATTCTACATTATCAATTTGTTCATTTTCAACTTGTATCTCATGAACCTCTGTATTTTTACTTTTCTCCTCTACTGGTTTACGCCAAGCTTTATAAGACTTTTGTATATTTCGTTGCTTTTGCTCAAAATTAAATTTTTGCTTTTTCTCGCTTGCGCAACCTTCATCACCTTCATCTCTTTTATCAATATCATCTAAATTCCTTAATAAATCTATTGTTTCAACAATAGTTTCAATTTTAGCTATCCTCCATAGCTGTTGAATATTTTTAGGATAATGTCCTATGACATCGGACACTAATTGCTTTTCTGGTATTGGATATGTCAGCATTTGCGCTCTTTCGATTGCATAAAGAAAATGATTCACCATCGTGGGTGTGTATAACGATTCCACTTATTTTGTGCTAAGAATCGCCTTACTTTATTCTGTTTGTCCTCACCCCAAAATACTTTTAAGAAATCTATCTTAAAATCATCAAAAGTCTTCCAACGCTCATTATTGATCCGAGCCCAGTATTTGGCTTCGCCTGTCAAACACTCCTGTGCTATAGCAATTTCGAGACCTTCAGATGGTACTTTCTTTAAATAGTTTGTGAGATCTTCCAAAAATGTAACAGGATGTTTATTATCATTTCCTCCATATTTCGGTTTATCAATTGTTATATTGCTTACATTGTAAACAATATGTTGTTTTGTATCTCTTATATTAGAGGTGCTCGCTCTCAACACCTCACTTTGATTAATTTCTTTTATATTGGAAGTGCTCGCTCCCAACACCTCACTATGATTAATTTCTTTTATGTTAGAGGTGCTCGCCCCCACACCTCACAGTCATTATCTTGTATTTCTTGAACTTTGTTTAGAGTTGTAATCTTATTCTCCAACTCATAAAATTTTTCATTAAAATTTTTCACAGCCTTCTTAATTAATTTTTGTAACATTTTGATATCTTTATTTTGCTTTGGAACAGCAACTGATTTCTTGGGTTTTCCCATTTTTATTGCACTTCGCACTTAAAATCGTTCGATTAAACACTTTAATTAGTGTCACTTCAGTCACTTATAATTTCCCTTCAACTTCACTTGTCACTCTTAGTATCGGGTTATTTCAGGTATCTAGAACAATGTTTTATATTAAGCATCTCTACACCACCCCCAGGCTGTCAACCACCCCCAGCAAACACTATCCTCCAAGACACCTTTCCATTTCACGTACAACAAATTGTAGGCATATTAGCCCACTTCAACGTTTTAGTATTACGGCATGCTATTTCATATTCATTAGTATCCTGGTCACGGAACCAAATTGTAACTCACACCCCCCCTTTATTGTGTATATATAATTATAACTTATATATATTTTTGCCCCGTTATGTGAATAAATCATATAACATCATTACGTGACCAGGATAAATTATTGATCTTTCTAAAGGTAATAATTAGCCGTATGAAATATTATTGTGATCGTCATGTTCGGTAGGACCGCATTTACGTTGTGTTTATTTAGTA